TATTAGAAGACCTTGTGCTTTCTTTATTTTCCTGGTCGATTTTAGCTTTTTGTGCTCTAGTCATTACCATCGTTACTTTTTCATTTAATGACTTTAAATCGTCCGAACTTATGGGTTCGGGTCTGGGTGTCATTGTGTCTGTGAACTTGTATGTTTGTAAACGCACCCACGACACAGGAGGAAATCCTAGTGTGGGGCAAAGTTTAAAAAAAAAAAAAATGAAGATAAAAAAAACTTAAAAATTAAGAACTGTAAAACGGCATTTAGGGTAAATTTTTCAATAAATGATCAGTTCGTAACCATACAATAAAATTGTAAGTTGACAGTATAGAAGAATTGACAAATCTATATAAAAAAAATTAATATTTTTAGCGAGACTAACGAGTAACGAATATTCATTCGTTAGTCTCGCTAAAAATCAAGAACGGATGAACCTATTTGTCTAATTTTGGTCTTTGTATTATAACTTTCGTGAGACATACTTACTAAGTAAATACATTATTATGTTTTCGACTTACTCACGTAATAATTTGACGAGGAACTCGACTAGTTTCAAGCCATGCTAGAGGCTCATATTCATGAGCAGCATTACGCGACCTGTGAGTTGCGTGTCGCGAGTTCCTCGTCAAATTATTACGTGAATAAGCCGAAAACATAATAATTTATTTACTTAGTATGTGTCAGGAAAGTTATAATACAAAGACCAAAATTAGCCAAATAGATTCATCCATTCTCGAGTTTTAGCGAGACTAACGAATGGAAATTCGTTTTTACTTATATAGGTATGTAGATTGACTATATTCTTCTATACTGAAAACTGTCAACTCACAATTATATTCTACGGTTACGAACTGATTATTTATTGAAAAATCGACCCTAAAGGCCGTTCCGTGTCCTTAATTCTTAACTAGTCAACAAGGCTGAATGTTTAATGAAATCAAACGCTAATGGGATGCTTGTACATTTATTTCTAATAAGATATGGCTCCTATTCATCGATAGTCGATACAATACGTTCGTTACAAACATTTTTATTTAACATTTACACAATATATATTACAAGCAGATCATTATATTTATCACAGAGTACGCGTAACAATTCACAATATGCGAGAAATTAAAATAAAACACTTCAAAATATTTCGTAGCCTCATCATCATATTATAGTTGTTTCATATAACAATATTTTTAAACTATAATTAACATTAAGTACAGTCAGCCAAATTATTTGATATGCACGTGAGATAATAAAGATTGATTGCATTAAATTAAATAGTTTTATACATTTTTCGACTTCACGGTTTGTGTCGCGGGTTGCATCCCCGCACGGCACAACACTTTCTGTGATCCACAAATTGTTGTTTGGGGTCTAGGTGTCATTGTGTATGTGAACTTGTATGTTTGAAAACGCACCCGCGACACAGGAGAAAATCCTATTGTGTAGCAACGTTTTTTTTAAATAAAAAGGAAAGTCATAATTATGTTTCTGGTCGTCTCAGTAGTCAACCAGTGGTTGGATACTATATCTATGTATAATGTAATGAACCATTTTTGTGTACTCTCAAATAATTTGACTGGCTTTTATATTCATAAATATACACAAATATGGTTATAAAAACTTGGATTAATTATTTACTGTTTTGGTTTTAACAATGGGCTGTGAAAATCTGGATAATTTATTCAGTAGGTAGTTCAAACTAGGTACACACGGCTACACACCGAGCTTTACATAACCAGTATAAACTGAACGTTAAATGCGCGGAAAGATGATGCGACGCGATATCAGGATAAACTGGTTTTGTATAGGTTGATGTGTGGCCGTGTGTACCTATAAAAACAAAACAACTGCAAGTGACTGACTAGGCTTGCTAGCTACAAGTGCAGCATCTATCTATTTATGATACGTGTACCTAAATTCTACATTTTTTTCTGTGAATGGATTTTGCTGACATTTGTCTACTGAACTGTGATCTTTTATAATGTATGAAGTGAAATGTGTGACTGGTGCCCGAATACTGAAACGTTACTCAATTTTAAGTCACGCTTAAGTATAGTTCTGTCACCACTAATTCTTTGTGAAATGACAGAGATGGTACGATATTTAATCACGACTTAAAATTGAGTCACGTTTCAGTATTCCGGCATAAAATAGTTAGTATGAAATAATAATTAAACATTATTAATTCGGAAAAATAACATTTCAAGACTAGGTAATGACAGACACTGATGGACAATACTGATTCTGTAAAATGGGACATAGTACAATATTTATAATTGAAATACATTTTTCAAAAGCCACAAATTGTCATATTTGTTTAAAATTCAATTTAACGAGTAAAAAATGGCATGTTCCAATTCTTTTCATGGTTTATTTCTTTCTTTACAATTCGTGTTCACTATTAAATTTATTTTTATTTTATGGAAATTGATTGTTAATATTTACATTGTCACTTTCTAAAATAACAAATTAAAACAGTATAATTTGTATATTATAAAAACTTCACACATACACCAAAAATATACATATTCACCTAATACATAAGATATGATATAAATAAAAAGATAACAGATACAGCTAAATCATTTGATTTCAAAACATTAATGTTTGATAAACAATACTCAATTAGATAAGATCTATAAATACATTTAACAAATATAGAATAGGTACTACCGAGTTCCGCATGGTTTCGCCCGCCCTGTTCGGCTCCTATTGATCGGAGCATGATATTTTATAGCCTATAGCCTTTGTCAATAAATGGTCTATCCAATACAAAAAGAACTTTTCAAATCGAACCAGTAGTTCCTGAGATAAGCGCGTTCAAACAAACAAACAAACTCTTCAGCTATATACTTATAATAGTACCTATATAAGATTAATTTTAAGCTGCCTCGTTCGATTCAATTGAACTCTGTAGTTTACCTTACTGATATTAATGATAACAACAGCGATTACATGATTATTTATAGACGATTAATATATTATACACAAAATAAAGAAATAGTGGCGCAACAAATGGATAACTATCGTGAGACATAGTAAATTAACTAAAAATAGCGAGTTACTCACATGAATATAGTGAGAAAAGCTATACTAGTTTTGCGGAGCCTGCGCAACATCGCCGCGACCCTCTCTGTGGATCGAAACTAGTAGGGCTTTTCTCAATATATTCGCAGGAGTAACCCGCGATTTTTAGATAATTGACTAAAATATAACTACTATGTGTCTTGTCTTGGGACATATAAAATTAATTAGATACTACGGCTTAATCACGTAACTGTTCGAGGGCCCTCGAGTAGTTTCAAACTTCGAAAGGGGTTCATAAACTGTAAAACAATGAATCACGAGAGTTATAATACTATTGAGGCATCTGCCTGCAACGTTCCAAAGTCAAAGTCGGGTTTAAATTATCCGATTTTTAAAGTGAAATTGAAATAATATTTTTACTGTCCCCAGTTATAGTTACACCACTATCTATTAAGTAAATATAGGTACTGTAATAATAATGTATATCAATATTAGGTACATAACATTATCATTCAAGTAAGCATGTATTTAACAACAAGCATATAATGTACCTAACTAAATACACTACCTATCTAATATATAAACCAGTGGAAAATATAATATATGACTTATATGCTACATATTATATACTATATCTTTGAAATGGCTGCGCGTTTTATATATTTTTGTATAACTTAGCTGAATTTTGTAGAGTTTGAATTTATACTCTAGTAAATATAGAATTTTTCAACAATTTACAATATTTTACAATGTTTTCAAACATTATTGGTATATACGTAGATACTTTCACGACAGTTATTTAAAAAATACATTTAACATAGTTATAGATAGTATCTTTGCTCTGCTATATTTCAGTATTTATTTAAATATTATATTTAAGTATTGGCAACGGCAACCAACGGCAAGTACCAATGTGACTTTTTCCGAGTTATATGTAGGTACTTTCTAAGATTATTTAGACACCACTGACAAACGGTGAAGGAAAAACATCGTGAGGAAACCTGGACTTATAATTTCTAATTATAAGTTTGAAATCACCAACCCGCATTGAGCAAGCGTGGTGATTAACGCTCTAACCTTCTCCGTGTGAGAAGAGGCTTTGCTCAGCAGTGGGCATTTATAGGCTGTTGATGATGATGATGATGATGATTTAAGTATTGACACACAGCCTTTGCTAATTCTTATCTGCATTTATACCAAATGAATTGGTTGGCTGTACCTATATTAAATTTCACCAAAATCTTTATAGTAGTTTCATGACAGAGGGCGGTCTTTAGTTAGTATGTGCCTAATGCCCGCTTTTGTGTGTCAAATACAACATAGAAAGAAATAGAATAAAATGCTATTAACTGTCGTGAAAGTAAATATTAATAACTTTCTCATGTTTGATATGAGTACTCCTACATTTTCTAGGTAAAACATTTGATGATAATATTTATCATACTTGTGTGTGTAAACCAGGTACATTTTTAGCTTTAATTTCGTATATTTGTTATTGATAAGTTTAAGAACATTCCTCGTTTTCAATTTGATATGTCCCAGCCATATCGAAACTATAACATTTTAAAAAACTTCCTTTTACATCCCTTTCGTAGCTCCTGGAAATAATTTTGTACTAATTTATTATGTTTTGTACGATGTGCGATGTAATACACAGTTATACGTATACCGTTTTCGTTTAAATTCATTATTTATACTCCAATTGAAAAGTCATTTTACTTGCAACACTCGATTCGGTTTATTGGTAGAACATTTTCAAAACAATCGTTCATTTATATCGGTCTAAATAACCACAATTGAACTCCTTTAAAACCATTTTTCTGTAGCACTTTCCATTTTAAAACAAACCACTAAATAACAATGTACCCCATTATAGTAAAACTTTGAAACTGACAGTTATTATTGATTGACATAAAGTCGAAATTCTTTTATACAAACTAATTAGTATGTTTTGTACAATGGCGGACACGAAAAGTGGGTCACATTTTCACTTCGCGTTACGTACTGAAAACTTTTCTCAGAAAACATAACGTTTGTTCGTAAAAACGTGACCATTTCATTACTACACAATTCTGCTATTCACTTTTTCGAAACAATCATGACATTTTACTTACATCCTTTCTAAAAGCATACAAATAACTAAACTGTTATATTTTTACTTTAATTTGAGACTCCATTTACGCCTTTCTCTTCACAAAACTTAGTTTTAATACAATGTTTTGTACATAAACTTACATTCTAAACTTTAGTTTTAAATGAAACATGGCAAAATGCAATTTAATTCTAATTAAAAGCTGATAACGCACGGCACTAGTGTCTAAACAAAGTTATTAATACTGATTTAATAAAACTGCCTCACGACATTGCACTTCTAACATGGCTGCATCGAAGAACGTAGAGTCTATTTTCTACATAGCGGCTTTTGAACAAAACAAAACAATCCAAACTAAACACATCCAGCTGTGTACTCCGAAAACCGTATTCAATAGCTTCAATCTTCGTCTACTGCACAGCATACTTGCAGAAGTCATGGGCTCCGGTACATTCGACACTAGGTCGGTGAGTGGAGTCCCATATCCCAGGTCCACATCGCTGACACATGCCCACTAAGGTGCAAGGGATCCTGACTAGCTGACGGAACTGATACAATAGACCTCTAGCCTTGCGCAGGATGAGTCGGCCATCCATGTACATTGCTGGAAATTAGAAAAATAAGTTTAAATTTTTTTTAATCAGTCATCCAGCACACTCAAGACTCTGTATAAAAACATTATCATTTGTATAGGGAAACAAAACCTTATATTAAAGGCCGCGATGTAAAAATGTACACATGTATCATATGTTTAAATTCAAACAATATGTTGGCCTAGTTATAAACGTTAAACATGAATATGGTTATTTAAAACAGACATGAATCATGATTGCTTTTAATTTACTTGGACAACGATTTGTTATTTAAATATTTAGAATTCAAAGACGGCTAAAAATAAAAGTGTGGGAGAGCCATGCTTCGGTACGAATGGTCGAGTCGCGACCGGATGGCTACCACGGCCTCACAGAAAACCAACGTGAAGCAACGCTTGCGTTGAGTTTCGTCGTGTGAGTTAGGTTACCGGAGGCCCAATTACCTCCCCGCCTTCCCCAATCTCCTCAATCCCTGAATCCCCAACAATCCTCAAAATTCCAATCCCGAAAAGGCCGATAACGCACTTGTAACGCCTCTGGTGTTCCAGGTGTCCATGGGCGACATCGATTGCTTACCATCAGATGATCCGTCTGCTCCCATAAAAAAAACTAAAGAAAAGAAGGGAGTCTTCAAAAAAGATGTAACTAAATTCGGTAAATTCCTCTGGATAGCGTATTCTAATCCCTCTGCTGTTGTGGGTGACCATTATACTGCAGCTGCAGTAATCGTTTGCCAATCGATAGCTTAAAAAAGATTGTATAGGTTTAACTCAACGTACCTAAAGAACTAAAATGCAGCAGCATCTCATCAGTGTTGAGATCCTGTGCGATGACATCATCAGCGTACACTGCAATGATGGCCAGGCATAGGAAGAGATGGAAGTAGTCCGTCTGATAATTAGCCCAGCATGCTTCCCACATGCGCAGGGCTACCGCTTCGGTGAACTCGCGTTTGAAACACCTGTAGTAGAAGAAAATGAAAACAAATTAATAAACCCAAGCAGGTTAAATTAACTTGTGTTGTAGACTCTTCCAACAGATTATCGACTTTTTTAAATCGGTATTATAGGATTAAAATTCAATTGGGATGATGACAGGTATGCAAATTAAAAATATAATTAGTTCTTAAGTTAGGTAATGAAAAAATATTAGACACGTATTTTTTATTTTGTCGTAAACAATACTTAAATAAAACGAATCAAAGTTCATCAGTGGGGGCCAAAACGTCATTTCTACGTATACAATGTGCATAGAAGTGACGTCACGTGACATTTCAAATCAAAATATCGTCTAAAGTATTCGTTTCTGTAAGAAAATAAAAAATACGTGTCTAATGATTTAAAATAATCTACCAGACGGACATTAAAATAAAAATTAGGAATCTATCCTAATTAAAGCAAAAAAAAATATATTATGTCTATTCCAATAGGATATAGGATTTTCCTAAAGTTCTGTGATATTTTCAGAATTTTCTTTCCACAGACCGTTCGTGGAATCTCATTCTCTTATACCTAGGTAATCAAATGGAGACTTTCCGCGAATTGAATCAATTCGATTTGCGCAACAATTGTTCAGGCTGTTATTGCTTGATTACCTACTTACATTTCACATTCTTGCCTTCAATAACATACCTAGCAAGCAATTATGATATTAAACCTTTAACTGCTTTTCTTATAACTGATTTTCTTTTGAAATTGTGATTAGTGATTTTATTAACCTTTTTTTATCGGTCGTTGTTTGGCCACTGACTCGCCTAGTGGTAAGTGTTGATAAGACCAAAGATGTATCACATATCCATTTAAGCCACCTAAACACTAACATCTGCCCTCATATTTTAGGTACTTTAAAGGTCAGGCAAACAGTTCTTGAAAAGGCTACATAATTTAATATCCTTAGCTAAATAAAAGACACGCTCATATGTCAAAGGGTCCTCCTGTGTTTTCTATATATGTTTGTATAATAATTACATTACCCCTCGCTTTGATATTCCTTCATGTTACTAAACGAGATACCTACGTATTTGAGTAGCGGTTGGTGTGAGGTGAATAATAAGGGAAAAGGCTTTGTGACGTCATTTGACACAGCAAGCCGCGTACCCCTGTCACTATAAATAATAGTTAAGTCGTTTTAAATACTTGAAATACCGAAATGTTCCTTTGGTTATTTTGCACAAGTTATTGAAAACGGCAATGAATCTTGGATGCGATTCCAGGGTCAGAATGTTCCAATATCAAATAAGACAATTATATTCTCTTACTAACTTTTTAACATCAAATTGAATGAAACTCGTAATGCTCACGGTAGTTAAGTAAGTGCCTAATAACATCAAGCTTCTATCATCTATCTATAAATAAAAATGAATATTCGTTCGTTAGTCTCACTAAAACTCGAAAACGGCTAAACCAAATTCGCTCATTTTGGTCTTGAAATGTTCGTGGAAATCCAGGATAGGTTAAAACGTTGAAAAAAAAATGGCGCTGTACAAAGTTTGCCGGATCAGCTAGTCATAAATAAATACTTACAATAATATCCAACGGTGACAAAACAATAATTCCATTGCGTCAACGTGTTTCTCCAAATGCTTGTAGAAATGTGGCAACATAATCCTTATTAATTCACGCAGGTAACTCTGGAAATTAAAAAGGTCAGACGTAGGAGTTTTCATTTCAGTGAGGTAATAAAATAAAATATTAGGTAACAACGCTGTAATCAAGCTGACTACATCGATAATGATAAATGGGATTATCTGTGACTCACTATACCTAAGTAGTTTACACAGGTATTTATTTTAGATACATTAATAATACTAGCACATATACTGATATACATTTATATGAGAACAAAGGATGTTCATCATTCAATAGTTCCTATAAACGAGATAAAACCCTCATTGAATACAGTATTACGCTTCCAATCAATCCATGACCTCAACAATGTTGATAACTATTTGATAAAACGGGTAGCGTATATTGATTTATGTACCACGACGTCACACTACATACGTCAGTAACCCCATATTACAAAAGCATGGATACGAGATCATAGATTAATGAAAATACGCGTAGTCTACGGAATGAAGCGAATTAAGCGCTGAGTGAACGGAAAAGCGCTCGAAAATGTTCGAATTTTAAATTTTTCTGTTTTATTAGCTTGATAAGCCTATTCACCAATGTTAGGTTAGCAACCGAAAAGCTATCAAAGCTCTATTGATTCCGCCCCTTGTATTAAAATAGCTTAAATAATAAAATCGACTAGACACTCAAATAGTCTACCTAACCATTTTAGTCTCATAAAATATATTTATTTGTGTGGTATCTGATTGTGTCAATCTGTCTCCGATTTGTCTATAAGAAATAAATCTTGGAATTGTATTAAAAAAATGATTGGAATTGTGGATTGTTACTTGACAATGAGTGTTCACGAAATCAATGAGATTGGGTTCTTGCTTTGCCTCTCTGTATGGATGTTGTAAAAAGGCAACTAGCAATAACTAACCATATATACCATTTATCTCATCTCTAAAAACAAGAACCCACAAACATTTTTTAAGACATAAGTAATCCAAAATTTCAAGTAGGTACAGAGAGTGCCCTATTTTATGGCCAGATGTGTATCATACAATACGGCCGTTTATTTTACTCCAACTTTATAATATAAACCTTAAATCTTAAATCTATTATGGAAAAGTTATGTTAAATAGGTAGAAAAGCCGACACCGATGAAGCTGTATCTTTGTAAATGAATGTGTACCTACATTATTGGACATTAAACAGTTGTTGTATCTTACAAGATTGTTATCCATGTCATTGTCGGTCGGTGTGCACACAAATATGGCTCGTTGCATCAGCCCCACGAAACACCAGAATGCTTCAGCCTCGCATTTAATCTCACACAATACTGGAGCTAACAAGTCACTCATTCCTTGGGTGTACCTAGAAAAGATAATAACAATTTAAAACATGTTTTTAGGGCAGAAATGTTTCATCAGTAACTACACAATGTCATCATCATCTCATTTGGTTTCCACCATCAGGAGATTACTTATAGTTCTAGAAATCCAGATTAACAGATTGAAAAACAAAAATCCAATTTAACCAATGGTATAATTTACATAAATCCAGCTAGACAGCTCTGTAATGAAAAAATATCGGACGTCAAGTGAAAAAATCCTTTTTAAAATTCCTTGCGATCGTTAATCGCCCTACAAGACGACCTTTCAGTACAAGACAGACACGAGCCTTGAATATCAAACGGCTCCAATACGCAGGGCCGATGACGTGCATATTCGCAGTAAATACCCATTTATTAAATTGTACAGTTGGGAGTAATTAGTGTGTGGAACAATGAACGATGTGGTACATACAGCACACAAAGCCGTCATTAACTAGAACTCAACAATAAGTACAAACATTTCATTGTCCTTACCCTAAAACTGGATTGTATACTGCATAGTTCAACAATATGTTCTTCATTATTTCCACGTTATAATTATTTTCTCCCGCAAAAAATGGATTTCCTCTATCTGTTCTGACCACATCTTTCTCTATCACACATTGTACTGTCTTCCAAAAAATTGCATGCTGCTCAGGAGTCATCTTTTCCAGTCTCCTGGTCGTAATTTCGTCATATTCTCTCGACCTGATCTGAAGAATTATCTCCCTTTCGTCATACGTTGAGTTGTAAGGGTAGCAATGTAATAGGAATGGCCACACTTCCCTCCTAAGTTCCTTGTCCAGTCCTCCGAAGAAGACGCATTTCCTCAAAAAGAGATCGTCTTCGATCACACCCTTTGCGTTCATTATCTTTCCGTAAAACAGTTCGGGGGATATTTTGGGAAGTTTGCCTTCCTCGGGATGCTGTTCAGACTTCTGCACTTCTGGACGGCATACCATAAAATGACGATACGGTAAGTTTGGCTCTTCAGAACCTGTGGAAACAGTGCCTACTTAGGTTAGAAGAAACATTCAAAGTTTAAATCCCAAAATATAAGTCTAATATTTTCATTATTACCTGGTGTAAGTTTGATATTGTGAAGTAATGAGTGCCATCGATGGAGGACTTGCGCCAAATGATCCAGACCTCCATGGTGGAAATGTAAAATTTTGTACTGGGATTCCCTGGAAGCTACCACCAACTGCCCACACGTGCAGTTGTCGTCGTTAAAGAATAGACGAAGTGACCGCATCTGACTCAGGTCCACCGAGAATCTAAGAAAGGAGATTATTCACATTAGGTACCTAGGTACTAGTCGTTAACCATGCCAAGAATGTATAACCAATAATGACAAGTCACTTTAATGAACACCATTAAAAACTTAAGTACTTAAATCACCCCAGACTTCGCTTCTACAAGTTACCTACTGACTGTCATAATCATAAAGTTTAGTATCCGAGACAGCCGCAGCTATTTCCATAAAACAAGTATTTACAAGCAAATACAACTCGTAAAAACTTTACAACAGGCGTATTAGTCTGATCTAGATGCGTGATTTAGTCACACCAATGCATTCACCGCCTACCGTTAATCTATCGATATCGGAAAAACTCTAGCAAAAAGCGTACATAATGTAAACATGATGCAAATTATCTCGCGTGGAATAGAGCTCGTCTAGCAATCGATACCACGATATTTAGTACAGGGGATCTAAGATTAATGTGTTTTACGTTCGCAATAACTTCAACTGTGAAACTTATGCCTTAGACACGGCTCAAGGGAATAGAGATTTATTTGCTTGAATTATTTACATGTGTCTGTTTGGGACACGAGTTCCATAGGGGTAAAATTCCTCTGCCTGGTGTTGACGACGGTCTTCTCGAACTCTTGTAAACTTAAACGTCTCCGGGTGTGTGTGTCGTCACAACAAAAGCTAGGGTACTTGATCTGTCTGACTTCATATCTCTCGGAAAAAACTTGTAGGGGCAAGTCTCTTACCACCGGACGGTACCTAACGCCGGACACTTGTATTATCTCGATAACTGATAACACGAGCGATTCAATGTTTACTAAAAGTCTTAGGTGTCTGCCACTGGGAGAAATCCCACTAAAAATTAAATGTCTCGCGTTATTAGTTATCGAGATAATACGAGTGTCGTCCGGCGTAACGGGACTTCCCCTAACCTATTTCTTTAGAAATTATCTTTTTTTTTAAGACTATTTAACCAAAATATTTGAATGGTTCAGTCAAGCACTGTTTTATTAATTTATTTTTTATGGGGTAGCGACCTAATGATCTGACAGTAAGGGTGTGGTGGAACGCCACGTCGCGTCGTCGCACAAATACACCAATGAAGTAAAATAAGTGCATTGTAAGCCTTTTCAAAATTTGTATAAATAACTCTCATGGCCTTATCTTATTTATCTTTCAACAAGTTATCTGGTCCAAACTTTCTGGAACGAGCAATGAATATCTCTTGTTCTTTGAACACAAATATTTATATTGACATCCGTCCATCAGCCGATGATATCATTATCAAATACCGGTAAATAAATAATTATTGACTTTCTAACTAGGTCAACGAATAAACTAGACGACGAACTTTGTCTACTAAGTAGTAGTGGCCAGTATAGGCCAGCAGGTTAACCGACCCTATTCCAATCTGCCAATGTTTTTCCATTGTAATTTTGACGTTATATTCAAACAACAAAATTGAAAATACAATGACAAACAAGAATTTTGGAGTAGTTTCACCTGCTGGCCACTGTACATTATGTACCTACTTATAAACGTCCATATTTATAAAGTGTGTCAGCTCCTTATACGATAGATTAATTAACTTACTGAGCCGTAACATATTCATTTATCCCCTTATAGGACGCTATTAAAAGGGCACTAATGTCCTTTCATCCCCTGACGACAACGTTATACTTATAGGCAATTATGGACATAAGCTGTGTTCTTTCTTTTTGTTGTTGTTATAATAGGTTTAAGAAGAACCTAGTAGTTACGATACTTATAGGAGAGGGCGCTCCGATTATTTGTTTCATGCAGCTGGTTATTCAGAGGACGTTGGTTCATAGGAGCCAGCCAACCAGACCGCCGAACGCGGTCTCATTTCGATTAATTTAAACTACTAAAGGATTAACCCTTCCTTTGAGTACCGTCATTATAGACACAATTAAAGAACAATAGGTTGTGGTCACCGGTGTCTCGCGGTGTTTGATAGTTACGTAAAACAAACTAGTACTAAGGTATACATTTTGAGGACCTGAGCCTCAAAATGTATACCATAGGGTTTATTTATTTATAGTCTGTAGTTATTTATCAAGGATGTGATAAATCAGTTCCTAATGCTCCAATGATATTGCAATGTTATCATCGGTTCCATGGTTTCAAACAAAGCGCTTTATCCGCTGCGTTTATTGCGAAGTATTATATGTCTTTATCCTATTATGATTATTTTAAAATCAAAACACCAGCATAGTTTCCTTTTTTGTTAAAGGAGTATATCATCTAATGACTTCTCCCGCTTATGTCAGACTCTTATTGACTTAAACCTACCAAATTATCTCTGCTATTTGTTTAATCTACGAACTTAGATTAACGTACACAAATCAAGTTATTCAATATTAGAAATGCAAACAACACTATCTAGCAAGAGTTCACGTCTCACATAACCTTTGCAGTTTCTAGAACCTTCCAATGCGGCACTAGAATCGTTCTATAGTGCCATTACAGCTTAGCATTCAAGACGCATCGAGTTTTGAGGGTGTAAATGAGTTGTGCCAGCAATAATGACATTCTCCGCGCGGCATGTGGTCGTGGAATGCAATCGGGAGAGAGATGTGACCTTGGAGACGACTAAAGGGTCGATAAGTGCTATGGAGGTTTTTAGTATACCTACTTATTTGTAGGGCGTTAATTAAATTTAACGACAGCTATTATAAATTTATCTAGGTTTATTAGAATTCAATATTATGTAGATGTATGTAATATGTATAGCATTTGTATTGAATTATTGTATATTTTACTTACTACCTATGGTCCAAGATGCCTGAGACAAATAGAGAAATGAAAAAAAAATTGTACGACATATTTATTTCATTGTCGATACACCGACCTTTACAACGGACAAATCATTTTAATCGATCCATTTCAGTTGATTTTTAAGTTCTGAAAAGATTAAAATTCAGTAGGTAACCTGAATAACTTGCTTTTTGTTTATTATTCCCCATGCCATACTACTGTTCAAGAATGATAATAAATTACCCAGTGGTATCTGCTACTGTAATTATTAATGCTGACTGTCCGAAATACAATCTCGGAGTCAGCAAACATAATGAACGACAGGCATCAAATTGTAAGTCGATTCTTTGTTTATAACAAATCTACTTAGCTGCATTGTAATTGTAAATGATAATGATCAATTATTAACATTTGTTTAATGAAGCTGCGTAACGATAGTAATAGTAATACTTCTTTAAAAAGATTTGAGGAGTATCTATTTCCTTTTTATTACTTTTCGTTAACGTTTATTACTTAGGATGAGAAAAATCTTTTACCTTAATTCTGATAAAAAGAAAAAGATTTAATGATATTTTCACGAGCAGACAAGCAACAGCTATTGACAGAAGAGTGGGCGTCCTCGACCCGTCGCCGGCTGTCCCCCGAGAGCCTTTGCGTGCTTCGGATTTATTTAACCTCTTAGTTACAAGTGAAATGTTATTTATATAAAACTCCCAGTTCAGTCAAGGGTCATTACTCAGTGAAAGTTTATTATGAAAATTTCAAATTAGCTTTACACATATTTATCTTGCAAAGAACATTAATTGTTAAGGTTCACCTCAGGGCGTATCCTAGGTCCTTTACAAAAAATAATGTCATGTATTCCTAATTCTTTCGGATTCTTTTATTAGACATTATATATATTTATAAACTAGAAATATGGTTCATAATTGCTAATCTAGAACACTCGTGTTCACTCGTCACGGTTCGCTGGGTACGAAAGGGATAATCCCCTTGATACGTGTATTAAGTTTTCTTATCCGTAAATAATGAGAACAAAATTTTCTGCTTTTCACATGGCACTCCTAATAACTATAGCTAGGTAGGCAAGGTAGGTGTAGTTACTAGTTTTAGAAAAACACTCTCTAGGTTTATCGTTACACGTGAATGGCTAGAACTAGAAATAACAATGTATTGGTGATTAGGGGCCGCCCAGGAGATCCGACAGGGATTTAAAACTCACAGTGTAGAAACAACAAGTTTCTCTTGTCCAAGTACTTAGGTACCTAATTAAATAAATAAATAATTGTGTAGTAGTGAGTTTTAGCTCAGCTACCATACCTAATGTGGTTTGTAATTTGTATGCCATGTCACCATATTCAAAGCAATTTACATGTTTTATGATAATGCGAAACGTATAATGGAGCTTCGGACCTAAAAAAACCAAAACGAATTTCTCGCGTAAACAAATAAACAACAAATCTTAAATTTAACGCAAAATATGCAAATACCTACGTCCTTGTAAAAAAACTCTAACAAAACGCGTGGTTAACCTGAGATTTGTCGGTATTAAGTATTAATTATGATTTTGACAATTGTATGCAGGTATACAGCAAAACACTGCATTGAATAACAGAATAATAACAGCAAGTTGGCGGCCCTGTGGAAACTACAAACATTGCATGACCCAAATCCTGTTTGAGGATAAATTGTAAGTGGGACCACAGTAATTCTAAGTGTAATGGCAATACGTAGATATATTACACTACAACGCAATATTATAGCTATGTGGCAAGATTGTTAATAAATACTACAGCACTCACCTTCGACATTTCAAAGGAGCTCGTCTTTGCGGCACTGGTGAACTATGGACACTGTCAGGAAACACCAAGTTATGTTTGAGAGCTAAAAACTCCGGAGTACTCATCCAATTAGGGTTACCCTCGTCACACGAACTCATTGACAGTGACCTAATAAACCTGTCTCCCGACACGGAGTCAGGGGTCAAATCTACGTTCTCTATTGTTGGATTAGCTATTGTGATGTTCACAGACGTCATTGACTGTGATCTCACGTGTTTGTCGTAAACAAACACCTCATCCCTGGACTCATCCTTCTCAAAGCTACTGAAAACATTATCCTTTACTGAATCTATAGACTTTACTGTAGGCTTAGAACTAGAAGATAATTCCTCCTGAGTCGTATCATTGGGAGTGTACCTCGTATCAGACGACTTTATACTTTGTTTATCAGAGTTTGAATTCAAACTTGTAGTCTCTGAAGAGTCAGAAAATGCATGTTCGTTGTTAGCATCCAATTTTATGCTGTTTCTATTGCTGCGTGATTTAGGTATCTCCTTCGGATTCGCCGGTTTACCTGAACACACCAACTCATCGTTCGGACTGGTTTCTACAGCCGAAGGACATTTCCGTAATGTAGAATTCGGAATCCAGTTGAGGAAAAGCGTAGGTCGTTTGGCATTATTGTGTTGATCAGTAAACACTTTGGTAGTGACTGTGAGGTACCCTGGATGGTGCACGATGTCCAGCTCATGCCTGGCTACAGTCGGCGGATGCACGCACACATTATTCTTGCAAAACAATATTTCGTTGTCGACGTAATCAGGGGGTTCCTCGTTATCATCGAACTCCAAACCGAGGAAATAGCTCGAGGCTCGTTTCAAAAGTTCTGGCAGCGGCATTTCGCTGCGAGATATGTTCACATTTCCTTAAAATATTAATACATGATTTATTTACTGCGCCGCGTTATCACTCGCGACAACCTCATTCAAGCGAGGCTGTGTGGGTACTACGCGCATGTAAACACCTACACAGTTATGTTGATAACGCCGTATTGATCGGGCAGCGAGAATAGAACCGCCTGAACCGCCACTCGGACTAACGTCACAGCTGTGTTCCATGGCGGAGTCCGCGGTGACGCTGTGTCACTTTGCTACTAAAGCGGGTAACACGTGTTCGATGTTCGCTTCACTGAGAATCGATCGAACTAAGTAGGTAATAGTTATAATATAAAATGATGCGTAATAAAATAAGGTATGTTATTGAGAACGCACAAGTGGGTAAAATATACGCATTCTACGTTCATATTTACTTAGGAACCCCTATTTGAAATGAATAATGGGGCTCTGTCAATGCCCGAGAAATGACCTAGCTGACTTTAAAGTTCGACCACACATTACATAACACGTACGCTAGACATAAGTACTTGTGATAGCATGGGAGGTAAATTGCGTCTAAGTAAGTACTTATTAGGTAGGTATTTATTTAGAACGCGGGCTTAAAGTAATAGGTGGGGCATTAGGTCATAATGGAAATGAATCCCTAATTTGTAAACTTTAATATTTTAATTGTGTCATTAGATACAACATTTTTAATCTGCGCTAAAGATCGACTGCTAAAAATCTAAATTCAATGAGATAGGTAAGTACATAAGAATACCAATGTACTTTACAAGTCCAAAAGTTTTTATTTTTCTCAATAAAGAAATATGTATAAATATTCTTTCACTTGAGAAACAATTTAAAATTATTTTCACTAACTGATGTATAAGGTACTTAATAAGATACCTTCCTATATTTACATTGTATAAATCTTTAATGAGTAGTTAACAATATCAACGATCAATTAGTTGTACTGTACCCTTCTTTATTATATCTGTGGTTGTACCTGTGTATGGGACTTAAAGTTGGCAGGCACCTATCTAACATCGAAGTTGAACCTACCTATATACCTAAATAAGATATTATGAAAGCTTTAGAGTTGATATTCCCTAAGCTCAATATTGATTTTACATCAGACAATTGATTAATTATTAAGTTCTTATTGTGTTGAAGTGTTACCTCTCTTGGATTTGACTATCGAAGATCTAGTTTGGGATACTGAGATAGTGGTTGAGGTAGGGCAGGTGTCACAATGCGATTGTGCTTATGCCCTCTGCCCTCTTTGACTGTTAATATTTAAACCACAGATTCCCGCCTCCAAAGAAAGCTGTCCTGCTTGTTGGGTGGGTACCATACCGCCCTTGAGCCACATATCTATTTCACTTTTACGCTTACATCGAACAGGTTTTTGGTTTAATTTTTCTAGGCCTTTAGTTAAAGGTGATCTGAGAAGAGTGCCCTATTTGTAAACATACATAGTCAGTAAGTTGAACTACATAAATTGTATTAAAGTGTATAGGTACATTTATTTGTTACTTTTTCAGAGATTCTCTCAAAACCACCCACGTGGAGTATTATCTTAAACCGGTTTACCGGTTTAGCTGGGTGTAGCAATTGCCGAAGATAAACCAAAATAGGCTGACTGTACCTTGGCTTTTTTTCGTTTTGTAGAAAACTGAAATTCTTTATCTTATCAACATATCAAGAACAAGTAGTTGCTGCCTAAAATTTAACTGCAGCGTTATCAAACCGTTTGATTTTCGCGAGTTGTTATTCTAATCCTAACACGATAAAAGTATAAACAAAATAAGATAACATTTAAAACAACAACACTGTAAAACGGAACGCATCTGAAGTTTCTCCTGAACCCGCAAGATGGCGTTTTCCTTGCATAATTTATTGACGCATGCGCCACACATTGCAATCAGCTGTCAGAAAGAACATAATCACGTAAAAAACAAAATTATTTGTGTCTTTAGATAATTCCCGTCAATATGGCGGGGCAAAATCCAGGTTCGCCGACTGACTTTCAATATTTTTACGAGGATGAAGTGTATAAAATCAACAATCGCGGTCAAGTGGTCTTCGGTCTGGTACTCGAGAACTATGAAGCCAACTCCAGCGATCAAGAGAGCGACATTGAAACTCCTATACAAAAAGGCGAAATTCGCGTTGTCTGGCATCCTTCCGGCACCGAGCGAGTCATATCCGAGAAGTCGGTAAGCAAGGATAACTGCAAATTATATTAGTTAATCTGTTACGGTGTTTGGCACTTGCGCACCGTACTAGTAATTGAGAATCTATAGACTTGTACTTGGGAGTACAACAACCCCTGAGTCTGGGCCTAGTGTTAATTTGAATTGAATTACGCATGAAATGCCCTTGAGCACGTTCTAGAGGGGTACTTCAAGGTCTAAGCTCAATTTGAAACAAGTCTACCCTCAACACATAAATTATTTAGACAACATGCAACCCACCCTAATTGAGCTACTGAAATAATTCATGGAATACTTAAATACTGATGTTATTGAACCTATAGAGTCCAATAATGGCTTATTTGTATCATATTAAGGCATTAATTGTAAACTTGAGACTATTATATTGCTATCTAATAATAAAATGATGCACATGTACGTGCAGCTGTTATTTTAAAATGAAATATTGATAAACTAGTTCCAATGAGCAATAATACAATGTACCATATTATAAGAATTAGTTCTAACAGGCTTTTAGGTAAAATTAATTTACCTATAAGAAAAAACAATCCAGTGGGACCAGTAGATTTGTAAAATTAACAAGAAATTTAAAAAGATACCAGCCTCATAAAATCTGTTGCTACTAAAACAAAAGGGTATTACAGTAAATGCATGCTAATCATTTGTTGCTTTTATTACAGGCCACAAAAGAGGCAGTATTACGAGCTTGGTACCATTTAACCCAATGTTCATAGGGAAAGAATAATACTTATTATTCTTTATTTATTTAGTTCAAAGGGGTGTAATCTATAATGTTTGGAATACAGTTTTATTTGGAGTGTATTTTACACCAATTAAACTGTCAAACACCAAGCGGTCACCGGTGACCGCAACCTATTGTTCTATAATTGTGTCTACAAAACCGGTACTCGACGAGTTAAAGCCCAATGACTTATGTTTTATGTATACTCCATATATGTATCCAGTAATAATGTAATGCATTTATTAACTTACAACCTTGTTATAAGTTTGCTTTTTCTTTATTTATTAGAAAAGTGGTGTTAACTTCCACCATAAAAAGGTTTGAAATGATTTGGAGGCTCCGAGTTTGATGTAAAAAAAAGCCTCATGGCTCACAATCCAGTACATAATAAACTATTCAATGTATCTAGCTGTTTTTTTATCAATGCGCCAGTGTTGATAAAACTAAGTGTTTTGTCAATGGTTTTTTTTATGAACTAAGTATCATAATAGCCTTTGTAGTTCCTGTCTTTGGTAGTTATGTGATAACAGCATAAATTGTGTATGAATGTATGTTTCATTAAAATTCAAAATATTATGTATCCAGTTCATATGCAATCAATTTTAAAGACTATATTAAATTGTTTTACCGGTCAAATATGAAATATGACCCACAGACCATACTCACTACTAATTCTATCTATGAATCAAATAATAACTGCCTCATTGGCAGAGTGGTCGCAAGTGAGACTGCTGGGCAAGGGGTCTCGGGTTGGATTCGTGGGTCAGGCAAAGTATTACGGGATTTTTTTTTTTTTTAAATCTGGAGTAGCATGGAGTCTGGAATTATGCCCGATATATGGCAATAGGCTCAGCCCCTATTACATGGGACTCATAACATAAGTAGTGAAAAGTGGGTGTTATATTGTACAGTGGCATAATGTACACCTCTGCCTACCCCTTTGGGGGTAAAAGGCGTGATCTTATATCAAATAATAAGTGCCTAATTTTGTTTGGTATAATAACAGGTTGGCCTAGCAGACCGCTCCCTAATGCCTGGCGACGTAGTTCGTCGTCTCATTGCTGGCAAGGACACACAGAGAGGCTACTGCAGAGACATCATCATGAACGCAGCCCTGCAGATAGTGGGCACCAAGCATGTGATACCCAGCGTCGCCAGCGAGAGACTCCAGCCATTGGAGGAGTTTACTCCTGATTTAGCTGTCTGTCTCGATTCATGGGTTGGAACTTCTAAGGTGAGTTAATTGTCTATTCATGCATTATATTCTACTTATTCTTTATAGATATGTTCAATTATGTTCTAGGATGGTCTATTTGTTAAGAATCCATCATTCATAAACATAATGTGGGGTTGTCATTACAAACATTGAACTGCAATAGTTGTTTTGTTCAACATTGTCCTACATACATACATTCATATATATGAATTGTAAGTTCCTTGTTATTGCTCCAATAATTCTAGTGAGGTAGTATTACTAGAAAACCACATATTTTTGTCAATTTATTAGTTCTGGCAAAGGCACAATGATAACTGAATTCACATAAAATAGTAGCCAAATCAATAAATTCACAGAATTTACTGTTTTTGACATACATGGATTAATTCCAAAATAGATAAACAAAGACGAATCAAGAGTTACAATTGGAAAATAAAACCTAGACTTTTTTGGGTTAGCCACTAGACAACTTTCATGACGCCACTCGACCGGAGCAACCTAAAACCGAAAGGTATACTGGTTTATAATAATTGAATAAATACTTTCTGTACACAGGCGGTCCATAGCAAACTCCGGCTCGTGTCAGCGGAGGGCTCCAGGCTAGAGTACCCCGACCTGGATACGTGTCCGCTGGAGGACTACTCGATGCGCCGCCGCCGCTCCACTCCATACTCCTCGTCCGAGTTCTACCCTGGACAGGTGGTGTACGGCCCGCTAGGCTCGCTCGACTCCGCCAACTGGCTCCACATCACCAAGGAAATGAAAGCTGCCAGGAAACATAAGATGCATGATCATAAGGTATGCACTATATTAGAATACTATGCATGTATATACCGACATTATATAATATGTCGTGGACTAATTGTAGGGTTAGACGTGCAAAACGCCAGGACTTGAAGGTACTAACAGAATTCGGTTGTACCCGATCTGCCTCATGTTTTTACTGGGCAGGAATCGATGTGGCTGAATGCATACATAATGAGGTCAATTCAATGATCGACCTACAATCTAATAAAGATGAAAATTCGATAAATTGTTTAAGTGTTTTATAAAGTGAGCTTTAACTACCTACCGCTTTAACATTTAACATACAGTGGTTAATGATTGTGTAAGATTTCGAATCTTAATGTACTGTAAATTAAAACTTA